TATATATATATATATATATATATATATATATATATATATATATATAATATAGTTGAAGTCAGAATTATTAGCCCCCCCCGAATTACTAGACTGCTTGTTTATTTTTTCCCCAATTTCTGTTTAACGGAGAGCAGATTTTTTCAACACATTTCTATACATAATAATTTTAATTACTCATTTCTAATCACTGATTTATTTTTTCTTTGCTATGATGACAGTAAATAATATTTCACTAGATATTTTTCAAGACACTTCTATACAGCTTAAAGTGACATTTAAAGGCCTAACTAGGTTAATTAGGTTAACTAGGCAGGTTAGGGTAATTAGGCAAGTTATTGTATATCTATGGTTTGCTCGTTAGGTTATTGAGGAAAAATTTAGCTTAAAGGGGCTAATAATTTTGTCCCTAAAATGGTGTTTAAAAAATTAAAACTGCATTTGTTCTAGCCGAAATAAAACAAATAAGAATTTTTCCAAAAGCAAAAATATTATCAGACATACTGTGAAAATTTCCTTGCTCTGTTAAACATCGTTTGGAAAATATTTTAAAAAGAAGAACAAAATTCAAAGGGGGCTAATAATAAATATATAGCAATACCTTTTTAAATTTGGTTTCACACTAATAAATTAATAAGTATATAAATAAATAAACAAATTAATTCATTAAATGTGGTATTACTATGAGGGCTTCGGCAGAATTTTGGCATGTACTGAATAAACTCTTCAGAAAACTAATTATAATTTATACATTGATGTTAATTTAAATTACCCACATTTGTTGTATTTAAACAGAAACAACAACAAACAAGCAAACAAACAAACAGACAAACAAATTCAATAAAATTTAATTCCGCTTTATTTGTATAGCGCTTTTACGATGTAGATTGTGTCAAAGCAGCTTCACATAAATGGTCATAGTAACTGGATCAGGGTAGTTCAGTTTTTAGTGTTTAAGTTCAGTTCAGTTTAGCTCAGTTCAGTGTGATTTAATCATTACTGAGAGTTCAAACACTGAAGAGCAAATTCATCGATGCGTAGCTCTACCTATCCTGAACCATGCAAGCCAGAGGCGACAGCGGAGAGGGAAAAAAACTTCACCTGATAGGAGAGTGAAGAAAAAAAAACCTTGAGAGAACCAGACTCAGTTGGGCATGACCATTTTAATAACAAACCAAACAAACCAAAAACAACCTACAAAGTTGTTTTTACAAAGTCCATCCAGGGGAACTTACCGTTTGATGAATATTTGAGTGTGAAGCAATGATTCCCGTTGTTTCCTATTTACCATGTTGTTGATCAGGGTCAAATCTGGGGAAATGAAGTCCATCCAACCAGGGCCCAACTGAGGCCCTTTTGCTTTATTGTGGCAAAAGTCATAGTTGATGGTCTGTTATTCATCTGAACTACATTTGCCATCACGCTCTGCAGTCTCACACCTGTTTCAGTTCACCTTTTGATTACACACAGCTGTTAACTATGAGGACTGATCATACGCATTGTTTAAACCCTTCAGTCACTCTAGTCCATTGCTGAGTATTGTTATGCTGTAATTAAACATTACTAAGAGTTTTTCCCTTGTATTGTCCCTTTGTTTGTTGACTATTTTATAATTGCTTGACCCCTTTGCCTGTTATATTGTTCACTCTTTGGATTATCTTTGTATTCATGCCTGACAACAGTAATAAAGCTGCGTTTGGATCCTACCGCCAGTTTATAACTTAAAATTAAGCGTGACCAACATTTTGAATCCAAAGTTCGATCCTCTCTATAAGTGGAGATTCTCAATTGTCAGAAACGCAGCGTGACTTTTGCCGAGATTCTGTCAGAGTTATGCAGAGGTTTGATATCTATATGCGAGATGAGCTCCAGAGTATATATATGCTGACTGGAACAGATACCAGAAACTGTCTGCATTTCTGCAGAGCAATGGCATCTTGATGGCATTTATTAGTGTCTCCTTGGCATCGTTTCTAAAGCAGCAAGAAATCCTCTGATGCATCAGTCTGGATAGGGTTTGTCAATTTCAGATACGAAGGCATTGGAAGCACAATGAATAAATAAAGAAATGTGACTGGTAAAGAATATCAATGCTGTGAGGCTGCAGACTTTATGAACGCTTGCGGTTTCAAATTCAATAATCTTGCCTAATGTGACTGAATTTATTTATCCGGATGAATGCTTTATCAGACTTATGTTGGCTTGGAAAATTGATTATATGGCACAGTATTTATTATGGTGAAATGTGAGAATTCTTGCTGTAGCAAATAATTCCTACATCAAATTTGGTGAGTAAATAGGCAACTTATTAGGGTTATTTGTACCACACAAGCCATTTCACAGCCACAGCCATATCACCCTGCAGCGCAAGACCGGTTACTCACTGAAGCTAAGCAGGGCTGAGCCTGGTCAGTACCTGGATGGGAGACCACATGGGAACACTAGGTTGCTGTTGGAAGTGGTGTTAGAGAGGCCAGCAGGGGGCGCTCAACCTGCGGTCTGTGTGAGTCCTAATGCCCCAGTAAAAGTGAAGGGGACACTATACTGTCAGTGGGCGCCGTCTTTCGGATAAAACGTTAAACCGAGGTCCTGACTCTCTGTGGTCATTAAAAATTCCACGGCATTTCTCGTGAAAGAGCAGGGGTGTAACCCCGGTGTCCTGGCCAAAGTCCCTCTATCAGCCCTTACGATCATGGCCTCCCATGATCCCCTTCCACCGAATTGGCTCTATCACTGTCTCTCCTCTACACCAATAGCTGGTGTGTGGTGAGCGCACTGGCGCCGTTGTCCTGTGGCAGCCGTCGCATCATCCAAGTGGATGCTGCACACTGGTGGTGGTGTGGAGAGACGCCCCTCATGATTGTAATGCGCTTTGGGTGTATGGTAGAGATGCGCGGATGGCGGTTACAGCCGCGGAATCCGCGGATAAACCGCGGATTGGGCGGATGACGTGACGAAAAATAATATTTTAATTAAATTCGGGCGGGTGGCGGGCGGTTGTACTGTTTTTGTACACATAGCTGGCGCACCAACGAAAAAGCCTAGGACTGACTTCACAGAATGAGAGGAGGAATCGGATACACTAATTCTGGATGAAGTACAGAAGTATTCCTCTACAAAATTAAGAATAGACGGATCAGCAGAGGAAAATCTACTTTCCTTTTGGGAGAAACAAGGCAGTCATTCCCACGTCTACAGCACCTTGCCAAGAGAATTCTATGCATTCCAGCAAAAAGTGCTGCGAGCGATCGCTTCTTCAGTGCAGCAGGGCGCATTAGAGGCCTGGCGCTCTCGTCTGAATGTTGAAATGATGTGTCAAAATGCGTTTTCTATTAGGCTACTATAATAAAAAAAATGTACAGTACAGTGCGTTTCATTTAGGCTTTTTATTTATTTATTTTTGTCCCTGTGCACCGATTGGAGACGGAGTTCACTGCTGATATTCTGAGAGCTTTATAGGGTGCTTCTCATTTCTTATTTGTGTATCCTCGTTTCCTTCCCTTGCTTTCTTTCCTCGTTCCTCGACGCAAAAAAAAAAAAACTCAAGGACCGAGGAATTGAATCAAGTGAAAAGACACGTCCTCGTATTGTTTAGCGTCACTTCAAAGCGTCAATTAATGCTGGATTTGACTTGCACGTTTGGATTAACTGCATGTCATTAAAGTCATTCTCTATTTTCTAATAATCAATAAAGAAACATTCATTTAATAATAAAAAGGAATAAGCCATTCAAATAAAGAGCTCAGTCAGCAGATGGCGGGCGGGTGCGGTTTTAAAAATTGGTCAAAAATGTTAGTGCGGATTGATGGCGGACGGATGATGAGTTTTATGATGCGGTTGCGGATGAAATAATAGCCCATCCGCGCATCTCTAGTGTATGGCCATACACAAAAAATGCGCTATATAAATACACATTACATTTAAAAGATTTTAAGAAGATAAGATTAACAGTACTGCGCTAAAGTTTTAGGCCAACATTACATTTGTTGTTTTACTGATGGTATAATGTTTATTTGTGACCCTTTACCACCAAACCATAGTGTCAAGTCATAAGAGACTTTATGATTTTTTTTTGTTGATATCTATACACGGTGAATGATCTTTTATGATCTTTTAGCTCATGTATAGTTTGTTAAATTAGGTTAGAGTTTTTAATTATTTGGGATTAATTGTTTAAGACACATGAAACACAATGTTGGAAAGAGACTGTCCTCGTTCGAGCTGCATTTCTACCAGTGCTGTTAGCAATATTGTATGATTTGATGGAATTGTGGATGTTGAAAAGTACAGATAGGTTTTAATTCATCATGCCATTCCTTCTGGAAAGGACTACAGAAGTAATAGTTTTCCTTTACAGCATAAAAATGATTTACTATTTGCAGTAAAATCCTACTTGGAGAAAAAAAAACTCCTGATGAAACACAAACAGTAATAAAATGGCATCCATGAGGTCCAAATCTGAATATTGTAGAGGCTGCATGAAATCACTTGGACAGAAAAAAAAAACTATACTCTAAACCTAAAGAAGAACTATGGTAAGTGATAGAGATCCGCTAATTACTTTGAAATCCTATTTAGAGAAAGAAAAAAGCTGATGAAACACAGTCATGAAATGGCCTTCACATGGTCCAGACCTGAACATTATAGAGGCTGCATGAGATCACCTGGATAGAAAAAATATATATGAGATGCTAAACCTAAAGAAGAACTTTGGAAAGCTTTTATAATCGGCTAATTGCTGTGAAGTCCTATTTAAAGAGAAAACTGCTGATGAAACACAGACAGTCATAAAATGGCCTTCACAGAGTCCTGACCTGAATATTATAGAGGCTGCATGAGATCACCTGGACAGAAAAATAAATATATGAGAATGTAAACCTAAAGAAGAACTTGGGAAAGTTTTAATGATCCGGCTAATTGCTATGAAGTCCTATTTAGAGAAAGAAAACGGCGGATGAATCACAGACAGTCCTGAAATGGTCTCCACAGGGTCCAGACCTGAATATTATAGATGATGAGATCAGCTGGACAGAATATTATAGAATATTATGAGATTAGCTGGACAGAAAAATAAATATATGAGAATGTAAACCTAAAGAAAAGCTCTGGGAAGTGTTAAAAGGAGCCTGATATTACATTGCACATTATTTCAGAAAATGTTAAGACCATTAAAACAAAACAGGAAAAGCCACATAGATTTACAGCCACAACCATAGACTTTTGCTCACTATTTAATATATTACAAAATTAATGGTTCGTAAACACTGACCAGGACAACTAGTGTCTAGGAATGGTGGTCAAATTGAATAATATATTTGGGATCTGAAATGGTTCCAGTTTAGGGCTTCACAATGTATTCCAAAAGTATTGTTTTTGCGATAATAGTATATGGAGCATTCGTATCGCAGACATGTGTGATGCATATAATAATAACGTGCGAACAGTACTTTTGCAATCTATTGTGCTTTCTGCTTCATGCTTTATTTTAATTTGACCAAACAGATAGGGCCTTGCGATGTTTAGCCCCGCCTATATACACTAATGGGTGGAGTCATGACTAGCGAGGAAAATGACAACAGCCGATCAGAGTCAGAATATCTGCTGAGATTTTCACTCATTCATAGTGTTTTAAAGACTAAATATTTACTCATTGACACCGTTTTTTGGTCTGAATTAAAATTAAGATCTGAAAAATATATTTTACCTATTTATTTTATTATCATTAAATTTAAGTTAATAAAGTAGCATTTTTCTAGGGGAAATGTTATATCATAAGAAATATAGTTTTCGCAAAACTCAACAACATTCGTTCATTCAATCATTTTCCTTTGGCTTAATCTCTATTTCTATGGTCACCACAGCAGAATGAACCGCCAACCTTTATGCTTTTTATGTCTCATTTATGTCTGTCTGAGGCTGTGGCTAACATACTTAACCACACCCCTCCAACTGTCAATGTGGAACAAGCAGAAGTGGTGAGGAGGACGAGTCTGTTAGGTTGTAATAAGTCTCCCCGAACCCGTTCTTTATGCCTACTTTTCTACGTCCGATCAGCTCGCAGAAGAAAAAAACAAGCCACACCCACTGTTTTCTCTTTTAATATTCCTTTTCTTTAGCAACTGCATCACAATACGAAATAAATGTTGCAGCTTTCGGTTCATGCAGACTTTAACAAAAGTGAAGTAGAAGTTCATCTTCTGTGGAGGCGGGGCTTATCCACCCTATTACATCGTAAAGTAGACCATTCAGTTTCATGTCTTTTTGGCAGACTGCCTTAAATAGAGTAACAACACAGGTTTTTTTTTTAGTTTTGGAGATTCAAAACAAACAGGATTTATATACAGTACTGTGACCTTGTTTATGTCAAAAGATCAACACAATTTTGTTTTCTTATTTCATGACTCCTTCAAAATTGTGTAATAGGGCTAAGTTATATAGTGATAATTATTGTTGTTTAATCACCCAGACCTATTCTGAAATGTATTGGAACACAGTCCCGAGAACTGATTTGCTTGGTGAATATTTGGACATTTTATATGCAGCAGCTAATTGAAGTTGGTCAGGGAAGAGGAAATATCTCAGTTAATGATCCATCCATGCACAGCTTCAAAAGCAGAGACGATAAAGTTTAAAGAGAAGACAGTCAGAACTTTGTGTGCTGGATCATTTCACTACTGTTCTGGGGAAAAAAATGAACGTGTCAATGCGTCAAATTCCTCAGGAGACTCACTTTTCTTCAGCATAGTCTCTGATTTATCAGGGTTCCCACTGACTTGCCACAGTGGAATGAACCACCAATTACTCTAGCATATGTTTTATTTATTTGTTTCATGCTGTTTTTAGCCACATACTGTACTACTCTCTACTGTAAATTTCAGTGTAAATGAGGCATAAGTGGAAATGAGACATAAGAGTGCATGATCTCTACAGTTCACTTACTGTACTGTGTCTTTGTTGCAGCTCGGGACATCCAGGCTTGGGAATATGTCCCATTAGGTCCATTCCTGGGTAAGAATTTTGGGACCACCATCTCACCCTGGGTCGTTCCCATGGAGGCTCTGATGCCCTTTGTTGAGCCCAATCCTGTACAGGTAAGCTTGGGCAGTTCTAAGTGTATTGGCCCGTTTCCAGTGATACAGTACGGTACGGTTTGGTTCGATACGCTTTCATGACCGTTTCAACTGTCAAAAGGTAACTAAAAGTGAACCATACCGTACCACTTTTTGACAAAGGGTTCCTAGCAGGTACCAAAAGGCGCAGCTAAACGCTATTGGATTAAAGAGATACGTCACTCACTTCTGAAACAAGCCAGGAGAATAAAATCAAAGAAACCGCCATTTTTAAAAACACAGCCGAGACTTTACATTACACTTTAATAATATATACATATAATAACGAGCCATGGTCGACTCGAGCTCAAACAAACCTAGAACAAAAGGCCACAAAACCAAGAAGGAGCAAAATCTGCAGTGTTCTGTCGATGTTTTACGAGGCCGTCTAAAAGTGCGAGCGATTTCACTTTCTCCAGAGAGCTCGCGATCGCGTCTATATATGATATAACAAACTTCTCGAGCTGATAATAATAATGTGCGCGTGATTATTGAAGCGCTTCTGCATCCGATCCCTTCAGAAACGAACAAACGTGAGAGTGAAGCGTGACAAAACAAAAGAGAGAGAGAGAGAGAGAGAGAGAGAGAGAGAGAGATAGAAAGAAAGACCTTTTGTGCACTTGCCTTGATATGTTTGAGAAAATAAAAAATAAGCAGCTCAGCTCTTAGGACACAGTAAACACAGTAAGTGTATTTATGCACACACACTATAATTTGTTGTTTTACTCCATAGAAGTTCATAAACAAGTCTGAAACGTTTTTGCACAGGCCTATCTAAAGGGTTAATTGTGCCAACTGATGATTGACAGTAAAAATGAAAAGTTCCCAACTGGGAAAAACACTAACATCATTATTTGGTGTCATGGCTTTGCAAAAGGGTGGTCAATTTGAACAATACGCAAGAGTTAAACTAGTCTGTATTATGTAGACTTACATCTTAAAAGTGACAGATTTGGATTATGTACATTGGCAAAAGCCCTTCTTCCACCAAAATGGACTGGCGTCTTTAAAAATGCTGTGTAATTATGCCTAGCTTTGGCAACAGCTCTCTGGTGCTATTACAGGCTGCCTAAATAGACTTCAGACGAAGTGCTCGATTAGCACCCCGGGAATGGCCATTGCAGACACATTATCTTTAAAAATGATGGTCTTAGTTTGAATTTATTCAGCTTTACAGTCCTGTTTCAGCTCTATGGGTTGATACTTCATCATTGCAGACGGCAGAGTGCAGACTTTGCATATAAGCGGGAAATGAGACGTGCTAAAGTTCGTTCTTTCTATGTGCAGCACTCTGACACTGTAAGCGAATGAGGCAAAAGCACATCTTTATTCTCCTTTGCGCATTCATTTGTCAGATCAGTGACATTCAATTGGTGGGTCGCCACCCAAAAAAGACCAGAAGGTCTGTTATGATGCTTCTATGCTGATGAGATTTTTATTTTTGAAGTTCTTGGTCAGCAAATGCATTTTAAAGGGCACCTATGGTGAAAAATCTACTCTTTAAACAGACATGAGTGTAGGTATAGTGTACAGACCGTCATATTTGGGTGATATAAACACACCCAGTGCTTTTTTTTTTTCAATTTAACAACATAAAAACAGTGGACTAAGTGGAGTGGTTTTGAGTCCGACCGCAACTTGACATAGGAGTGCGGTCCCCCCGCCCACCAATATTGATTGACAGGCGCGCATTACCACATCCTCAGTTTGTTGTTTCACGTCCGCCATTTTCAGGGTGAGTCAAAGCGATTTCACCCTTGCTCTATTTTTGGATGTAAGGCTTATTGGGCTCAACACAAGATCAACATCCACCACATGATCGCTCTCATCGGTGCCATTGTTTATAACTTTAGGTGGGTTTGCAAACGTGTACTTTTCATTGCGTCTTCCTTAAACTTCAGCCGTTTGCATTTCCTGCGGTCAGGGCCGGAGCAAGCTGAACTGCCGCTCTAGGCAAAGGACGATCACGCCGCCCTCAAACCGAAAGTGAAAACGAAAATGACCGGTTATCAAAGTGAAGAACCCTATTCTGCTGCCCTAGGCGCGGATGTAACTGCGGACGCGGGTGGTGCGGGAGATGTTCGGATGTCGCCCTCTCTGCCGCCCTAGGCGCGGGTATAACTGCGGTCGCAGGTGGTGCGGGAGGTGTATAACTGCGGAGTGCGGGCGGAGGTGGTGCGCGAGGTGTTCGGATTAATATTAATATTAAATCTTTAAAAAAGGGGTAAACTAGGTGCCCTCAAAAAAAATCAGCTGTTTTCCGTTTATTTACAGTTGTGAACTGCATTATGGGATGTTGATCTCTGCTCTGTAGAGTTGAATGTTCAAAATCAAAAGTCAACAGTTTAACAAAGTGACTTTTATTAACATTTTAGTTGTTTGAAATGATATTAAGGATAAGAAATAATCTATAAAGAAATAAATCTGTAAAATAACTGAAAATGTTCTGGCAGTTTATTTGAAGATTTTTGTATATCACTGCAAACTATTACAAACTTTCATAAAAGTCACTTTTTTCTAACCTTTTCAAGGTTAAAAAGTTGTTGGAAGAAAGATTAAGATTATCTAATGGAATTCAAAAGCATAAATAACTGGGGAAAAATAAAAACATGAATCACAAAATACGGAAGACTGCTATTTTACATATATTATTCTACAAAAAAATTGCATAAATTGGAAGTGTTTAATAAAAACTGAACATGTTTGAATGGAAGAATATTACATAAAATATGAATTAATATTCATATTAAATTATTAAATAAATTAAAATATATAAATTAAAGTAATTCATAAAATAAGATCCCTCACTTTAAAATTGGTGAATATTGCTGCTAAAATATTTGCAGAATTTATTATTTTATTATGCATTTGTAAGTCAGCAAAACGAATGTAGGATAATATTAACATAAATAATAAAATAGTTCAATAACTAATTAATATAATAGTTTAGCTTTTATGGTTTTCGTGTTAGTCACTGCAATTTCTAGGGAATATAAGTTGCACAGAGAAATTGCAGGGGTTTGAAAAGAAAAACACAAAAGTATGTCAAAATTATTTATCAAAATAATTCAAAAATAATGTCAAAATAAGCTACCAGTAGCCCAAATATTTACATATACTATTTTTTTAAACATATATTTTAATTTCTCATTCGACAACAAATCTATTCAGTTTAACAGTATTCACAAAATAATTAAAAAATATAGTGGCAATTACCACAAACAACATTTAATATAAAATAAATATGAACCCCAAATGTTTTAAAAGCATAACTTAAAAGCAAAGTCATGTGTGTTTATCGTTCAACAAATATCCAAATCTGTTACATTTCGTGCTTATTTATTTATTTATTTATTTATTTTAAAGTGGCTAATTCGTACAAATTTGTACAAGTTCAGTCGTATGAAATAATAATAATAATAATAATAGTAATAATAATAATAGTAGTAATAATAATAATAATAATAGTAATAATAATAATAATAATAGGCTAATAATAATAATAATAGACTATTATTATTATTATTATTAGTCTAATAATAATAAAAACATTAGGCTAATAATAATAATAATAATAGTTATAATAATAGGTTAATAATATTAATAGGCTAATAATAATAATAGGCTAATATTAATAGGCTAATAATAATAATTATAATAGGCAAATAATAATAATAGTAATAATTCTACTACTACTACTAATAATAATAATAATAGGTTAATACTACTAATAATAATTACAATAATAATAATAATAATAATAATAATAATAATAATAATAACAATAGGCTAATAGTAATAATAGGCTAATAATAATAATATTAATAATAGGCTAATATTAATAGGCTAATAATAATAATTATAATAGGCAAAGAATAATAATATTAATAATTCTACTACTACTACTACTACTACTACTACTACTACTACTAATAATAATAATAATAATAATAATAATAATAATAATAACAATAGGCTATTAGTATGTCAAAATTATTTATCAAAATAATTCAAAAATAATGTCAAAATAAGCTACCAGTAGCCCAAATATTTACATATACTATTTTTTTAAACATATATTTTAATTTCTCATACGACAACAAATCTATTCAGTTTAACAGTATTCACAAAATAATTAAAAAATATAGTGGCAATTACCACAAACAACATTTAATATAAAATAAATATGAACCCCAAATGTTTTAAAAGCATAACTTAAAAGCAAAGTCATGTGTGTTTATCGTTCAACAAATATCCAAATCTGTTACATTTCGTGCTTATTTATTTATTTATTTATTTATTTTAAAGTGGCTAATTCGTACAAATTTGTACAAGTTCAGTCGTATGAAAATGTAATATTTTAAAAGGAGGCATGGCACCCCAACTGTAATTGTGTGATGAGCAAATCGAACTAAATTGTACGAATTAGATCGCACTAATTCATATGAATTAGCCACGAAATCAAAAAGTTACCATGAGATTGCATTGAATATGCTTGTGAAGTGTTTTTGTTTTTACTAATGTTGTATTTTGTTATTTTCAGGACCCTGTTCCTCTTCCATACTTGCGTCATGATGACCCCTACACATTCAACATCAACCTCTTTGTTAGTGTGAAAGGTGTGTCGGTGTCTGTAACATCAGTCTGTTATTGTGCATACGCGCATAAAAAAATGATTGCTTACTAAAAGACAAATACGAGTAAAAATGTGTTATATAATAATAATAATAATAATAATAATAATAATAGTAATAATAATAATAGTAGTAATAATAATAATAATAATAGTAATAATAATAATAATAATAATAGACTATTATTATTATTATTAGTCTAATAATAATAAAAACATTAGGCTAATAATAATAATAATAATAGTTATAATAATAGGTTAATAATATTAATAGGCTAATATTAATAGGCTAATAATAATAATTATAATAGGCAAATAATAATAATAGTAATAATTCTACTACTACTACTACTAATAATAATAATAGGTTAATACTACTAATAATAATTACAATAATAATAATAATAATAATAATAATAATAATAATAATAACAATAGGCTAATAGTAATAATAGGCTAATAATAATAATATTAATAATAGGCTAATATTAATAGGCTAATAATAATAATTATAATAGGCAAAGAATAATAATATTAATAATTCTACTACTACTACTACTACTACTACTACTACTACTACTACTAATAATAATAATAATAATAACAATAGGCTATTAGTAATAATAGGCTAATAATAATAATAATAATAATGATAATAATAATAAAAAGTCCAAAGACATGTGCTATAGGTGTATATGGGTAGGCTAAAATTGACCATAGTGTAGTGCGTGACTGAATGTAAGAGTGTATGGGTGTTTCCCAGTGTTGGGTTGTGGCTGAAAGGGCATCTGCTGTGTAAAACATATGCTGGATAAGTTAGTTGTTCATTCAGCTGTGTCGACCCCAGATTAACAAAGGACTAAGCCAAAAAGAAAATGATTAAAAAATAATAAATAAATGTCATTATTGTCAAATTTAATACAGTTTAATAGTATTACAGTGACATTTCCTCTTACATTTAATTTGTGTAAAATAAAAAAATAATAAGAATTTATTTTACAGTTCTCATTCTCAATTTTTTTTTTTTTTTTTTTTGCTTAGGTGAGGGGATGCGAGAAGCCACCACCATTTGCAAGTCCAATTTTAAAGTAAGAAAAGTTTTGCATTTGTTTTGCATTTGTAGCAAACCCAGACAGACAACTCTTACTGTGTCCATTTGATTTTGCATGACTTTCCTGGAAACACAGAGCAGGTGAGTTCAAGGTGCAGTAGGTGATTGTCGTCAGAAACATTTTTTGATGTGCAAGTCTCCTCACATTCCAATAGTAATGATTAAATGATCTAAATGTGTTTATATGTGTTTTTATATTCTGAGTAAGGCATAAAACTAAAGAATGTTCATCCAATTAAATATTGTCAGGCTGATAATTCCCATAATTCTGATAAGTAGCTCAAAGTCTCTGTCAACAAATGCAGATTTGTACCGCGGCACATCTGTTCACGCATATCCGCCATTAGCTCGTGCATGCCTGCATGCGCACTTCTTATCCATGTGCAGACGAGCAGACAGTTGATGTGACTATTTTCAGTTTCATAAGGAAATTTTACTGCATCAATAATGTATATTTTTCTTATTTTGTTGAACAACAAAACATCAGTAAATAGCACTATTCTGCCTAGCCTGCTTTACTGAGCTGAATTTGCTTTTATATTCACATTGGTTCAATTTTGAGCAATGACAACCTGTGACGCGCTCCCTATGTTGTTTGCCATGCTACTCAGAATATATGAAATGGCATGTAAGTGTGGCTTAGCAGTAAGTGAAGTTTATTCATAAACTAATTTCGAGAGGATCACAGCATTATATATTTGCTACATGTGCACCAATAAGTGGTCTTATACAAGTTTTGCAGCTTTGCACCATTGCTTCATTTGCATAATGCCATTAGTGAATTGAGCACTAAAACCACACAGACTGTGCGCTGCAAATAAACAAAAGCCTCTTTCTTTTCCTCTCTCTGCCTGCTCTGCTTCGGCTCTGATGAAAAGCCATTTCACTGCAGCAGACTGTGAATAACAGGGTCAAACGTAAAGTTTGAGTTGACTTTCGGGAATGCATCTTAGATTTATATCTCTCTGGTTTTTGTTCTTTATTCTTGTGTTGACAAATGCTCAATATAGGGTTTCTTTGTCTTTTTGTGGTCAGAGGAGAATAATCATACTTTACTGTCATTTTAGTTAATGTTGAAATAGTTTAGTTTTGAAATGTTGAATTGAAATAAAAAAATACACCATTATATAATCAATAATCATATTTTATTGAGCCTTACTTGAGTTAATGAAAAATGTATTAGTTTAACAACAACAGCAAATGACCATAACCTTGGTATTAAGTTAGATAGATAAATAAATAGATAGATAGATCGACGGAGGGACGGACGGACGGACAGATGGATGGATGGATAGAGACAGACCGACAGATAGATAGATTGACAGACGGACGGACTGACGGATGGATGGATGGATGGATGGATAGATGGATGGATAGAGACAGACCGACAGATAGATAGATTGACAGACAGACAGATGGATGGATGGATGGATGGATGGATGGATGGATGGATGGATGGATGGATGGATGGAGACAGACCGACAGATAGATAGATAGATAGATAGACAGACAGACAGACAGACAGACAGACAGACAGACAGACAGACAGACAGACAGACAGACAGACAGACAGACAGACAGACAGATAGATAGATAGATAGATAGATAGATAGATAGATAGATAGATAGATAGATAGATAGATAGATAGATAGATAGATAGATGGGCAGACTGATAGATAGATGGATAGATAAACAGATAGATGGCTGGATGGATGGATAGACATTAAATAAACTTTTAAAGATAAGTAAATAATGGATAGATAGATAGACAGACAGACAGACAGACAGACAGACAGACAGACAGACAGACAGACAGACAGACAGACAGACAGACAGATAGATAGATAGATAGATAGATAGATAGATAGATAGATAGATAGATAGATAGATAGATAGATAGATAGATAGATGGGCAGACGGATAGATAGATGGATAGATAGACAGATAGATGGCTGGATGGATGGATAGACGTTAAAAAAACTTTAAAGATAAGTAAATGATAGATAGATAGATAGATAGATAGATAGATAGATAGATAGATAGATAGATAGATAGATGGATGGATGGATGGATGGATGGATGGATGGATGGATGGATGGATGGATGGATGGATAGACGTTAAATAAACTTTAAAGATAAGTAAATAAAATTTGACTCCACTTTTTTATTTACTGCCAGCAACAAAAATCTCCAACAAATGTGATGGACTATAGTATCGACTCATGTAAAGAAAGACCCCTGTGCTCTGTTTGTGAATGCCAGCAGCAGCAGTAACCTGTGGTGTGTTTTTCAGCACATGTACTGGTCCATGAAGCAGCAGCTGGCGCATCACACAGTGAACGGCTGCAACGTCAGACCCGGAGACCTGCTGGCATCAGGAACCATCAGCGGACCGGTGCGCAACCCACTGATACACGAACCCCGACCAGACCAACAGTCTAGACATAACACACATATAATAACTGATTTCTAATAACTGATTTATTTTATCTTTGCCATGATGACAGAACATAATATTTTACTAGATGTTAATGATATTCAGCTTAAAGTGACATTTAAAGGCTTACCTAGGGTAATTAAGCAAGTTGGGGTAATTAGAAAAGTCACTGTATAATGATGGTTTGTTCTGTAGTCTATCGAAAGTAAATACTGCTTAAGAGGGCTAATAATATTGACTTTAAAATGGTTTTAAAAATAAAACTGCTTTTATTCTAGCCGAAATAAAACAAAAAAGACTTTCCCCAGGAGATAAAATATTATATTAAATATTGTGAAAAATTCCTTGATCTGTTCAACATCATTTAGAAAATATTTGAACAAATTTCACAGTAGGGCTAATCATTTTGATTTCCACTGTATGATGTTTATTGGATCTCTGTATTTGTGTTTCTGCAGGATCCTGAGAGTTTTGGCTCTATGCTGGAGCTCTCCTGGAGGGGAACCAAGACCATCGACCTTGGTGGAGGAGAAACCAGGACCTTCCTGAAGGATGGAGACGAGGTCACTCTCTCAGGTCTGTGTGTGGGTTGTTTTTATATCCCGTGGAGGCTTCGGGTGCGTTCACACCTGTAGTTTGTTTCTTTTGTTCTGAAACGGGAATTAAAATAGTTACAGTGTTTATTTTGTTTGTGGTGCGGTTCGCTTTCACATGGCAGAGATTCTAAACGGACCAAAACAGTCAAGAGAGTAAGCTCTCCTCACGCTGGTCAGAGTTTCACGATTTGTTTTTCAGAGTCCCACGGGTTCCGCTGTCAGTTCGTCATTTTAATTTATGATAATGAGCAATAAGACATTATAAGCGAAAAGCTGCACTTTAATTTTGACATTCACAGACATAGTCATCAAATATATATTCGAGAGGTCAGACTTTCTAAACAGAACCCCATCTCAGTTGTCAGGGTTGTAAAAGTTTATCTACTAAATCAATCAGTCTATTAAAATTAACATTCATTCATTCATTTTCTACGGCTTTTCCGGGGCCGGGTCGCGGGGGCGGCAGTCTTAGGAGAGAACCCCAGACTTCCCTTTCCCCAGACACTTCCTCCAGCTCTTCCGGGGAGATCTTAAGGTGTTATCTCGAGAGACATAGTCCCTTCTGTGTGTCCTGGGTCTTCCCCAAGGCCTCCTTCCGGTGGGACATGCCTGGAACACCTCCCTAGGTAGGCATCCGAAACAGATGCTCGAGCCACCTCAGCTGACATCTCTCGATATGGAGGAGCAGCTGCTCTACTCCGAGCTCCTCCTGGGTGTCAGAGCTCCTCACCCTATCCATAAGAGTGCACCCTGCCACCCTTTGAAGGAAACTCATTTCGGCCGCATGTATCCGAGATCTTGTCCTTTCGGTCATGACCCAAAGCTCTTGACCATAGGTGAGAGTAGGAACTTAGATTGACCGGTAAATCGAGAGCTTTGCCTTTCGGCTCAGCTCCTATTTTACCACAACGGACCGGTACATCGATCGCATTACTGCTGCCGCTGCACCGATCCGTCTGTCAATCTCAGGTTCCATCCTTCCCTCACTCGTGAACAAATCCCTGAGATACTTAAACTCCTCCACCTGGGGTGAGGAATTTCCTCCAACCTGGAGATGACAAACCACCTTTTTCCGGTGGCTAGAAATAACAGATGAAGCAAGATTGCTGTCAGATCATGAAGCAGTTCAATGTTGATCTTTCTTTCATGGTGTCAGTGCAGAAATGAACAAAACAACAGGCCTAATACAAAATATTTAAAAAATAAAACATGGAAAAATATCAGATGGTAATTTCGGTCAATTTTCCTAACAGATAAACAGCACTTGGTAATATTTCAGCATGCTTTCACTATCTTATTCAATATGAAACGCACATTTCAGGGTTTGTACGGGTGCTGGATATCCTGGAAATTGCTTAATTTTTAATATAGTGTTTTCAAGGTTAGGAAAGTGCTTGGATTTTGGACAGTGTTTGAACCTGCTTGAATTTGAAATTGTAGGGAACGAAATTGCGACCGTTTTGGTTGCATATGCACCTGAAATTTTATCTATGCGAGCTCAAAATATATTGTGGGAGCATTTGTACGAGTGCATAAAATTGTTGCCGTCCGACCAGTTTTCACTGCAAAATGTTCACCAAATGCTCGTATATAGGAGACATTCACACAGAATGCATATTTGCACCTAAAAACGCCAAACGAAGCGCTCAGGAATAGTAAAAAACAGACATGTCCAAAGTAATCAAAAATTTAAATTAAATTTTCATATTGTGTAAAATAGCACAATGGATTTAAATGTGAAAAAGTGCATACAGCATATATAAACGTAATTTACCGCGATTGTTAGGTGCTTGAAAAGCTTAAAAATGCACATTAAAAGTGCTTGAAAAGTGCTGAAATTTGAAATTGGAAAAGGTGTAAGAACTCTGACATTTGCAGGTAGGAATGACATCCCGCCCTAATCATAAGTCTTTCTTCATATAACCGTCTATTACATTTCCATAATACACTGTAATTTAGCCTGGTTTGTTAGTTTGTTGGATCGTTTTGCTTTCTCACCACAATCGATCCGCTCCAGAGTTATTTTAAATGATCTGAGACCACCTCATTCAGGCGATCATGGGCAGATTGACTAACCTTTTATTATGTTAGGGGCTGTTTTTGCCCCATTGACTTCCATTATAATGACATTTTTTGATTGCAAAGCCATGACAGCATATAGTTATAAATTCTTGATTGTTGCTGGTTTGTGAATTTTGATCAACGGATGGTAGCCAACTGAAATGAGAGCATGTGTTCGAATTCACAAGCATGCGTCTGGGTGAGGTTTCTTTCTGTTCTTTTATTTATTTCATTATTTCTTTCTATTTATTTGTCATACTTTCTATTTATTTATGTTTATTTATTTGTCTTTATATTTATTATAATTTTTCTTTTATTTAAATTGATTTATCTATTTATTTGTATTTTTTATTTTATGTATATTTTATTATTTTATTTTTATTTACTTATTTATTTTTATTTATTTATTTATTTATTTATTTATTTATTTATATTTTTTGTATATTTCATTATATTTATTTATTTATATATTTATGTATTTTTTATATTTATTGCTTTATATTTATTTCTTTATTTCTTTATATTTATATATTTATATTTATATTGATATATTTATTTATTTTTATGTATTTATTTATTTATTTATATTTATTTGTTTATTTATATTTATTTATTTATTTATATTTATTTATATTTATTTATTTATATGTATTTCATTATATTTATTTATTTATATATTTATGTATTTTTTATATTTATTTCTTTATATTTATGTATTTATATTTATATATTCATTTGTTTATTCATTTATATTAATTTGTTTATTTATATTTCTATATTTCTTTATTTATATTTATATATTTATATTTATTTAACTGTGTGTGTGTGTGTGTGCGTGTGCGTGTGTGTGCAGGTTATTGTGAGGGCCAGGGTTTCCGAGTGGGATTCGGCCTGTGCGAGGGGAAGATTCTTCCTGCCCTGCAGCAGTAACGCAACTCACTCTCTCTCCACACACACACACACACACACACACACACACACACACACACACACACACACACACACACACAACACACACAGGCTTGAGGAAATACAGTATTATTCATGTCCTTTATGACTGTGTAAAAACAACGTCAATCACGTTTTTACATCTATAATGCAATGAATTGTAAAACAGAATACCCAAAGGGACAGTTCTCCCAAAAATGAAGATGTAATCGCTGTCAACTCTCCTTCAAGTGACTATTTAAGGGCCCACACCTTTTTGGGGCTCCCGGAGTTACTATTAGGGGGCCCGATCAAACCAATCCACATCCCAATTTTTCAAAATATCTGGCACTCAAATAGAGTTTTGACAAGTAAAAAACCCCCCACCTTACAACAAGCCCCCCTTTCTTCAAGAATGTTGCCATAGGGCCCGTGTCGGCCAGTAGTGCCCCTGCCTTTAACTATTTACTTCCATTGCAGGAAAAACAAATACTATAGATATCAATGGTTGCCGGTTTCCAACATTTTTCAAAAATATCTTCTTCTGTGTTCAACAGAAACAAGAAACTCCAGATTTTTGAATAGGATAAGTAGAATGTCACTTGATTTTATACATCAGATTGTGAAAAGTGTTTTTTAAAGGGACAGTACACACAATTCTGTTATCCTTTACTCACCTTCTACTGCTAAAAAAACTGCTTAAGTATCTTTCTTCTGTTGAACAACAAAAAATGCAGAAGCATGTTGGAAAACGGTTTACAAATTTCGACAGAAAAAAAGAAAATGATACCGATTTTGAACCATTTTAGACCGAGTGAATCAATGGGCTCAAACTGAATTCCTGGAGGGCCGCATCTCTGCAGATTTTATCTAAATCACACCTGCCTAATAGTCTAGTCTTGAACACCTTGATTAGATGTATCAGCTGTGTTTGATTAGGGTTTGAGCAGAACTGCGCAGAGCTGCAGCCTTCCAGGAATTGAGTGAGACCTATGGAGAAAATGGTGAGTGCAGTTTCTGATGTACTATTTAATAATTGCATTAAAGAAGTGAATATCAAAACTGGTTTTCTTTGGATAACTTGTTTTTCTTAAGAAAACATTTTAATTAGGTCATTATTGACTGAACGAGTCAATATTTATGCAGTTCTGTTGGCTTCTGCAGAAATGACACACTTGAACTACTTTGTTGTTCTGTTACTGAAAAATAACGCAATAAAGTTACTGACTTCCTTCAAACTGTAATGCTGTTTCTGTTCATGTTTCTGAGCTGGTGATCAACATTGACTGAAACTGAAATCATAAACCTGATACTGTTTTACTAAAGTTAATTAATTTTCCTTCAGGGGAAAAACAGCGGAATGAACCATATGCTTTACACAGCGACTGCCCTTCCAGCTGCAACCCAGTACTGGGAAACACCCATACACACTCATTCACACACATACACTATTGCCAATTTAGTTTATTCAATTCACCTATAGTTTATGCGTTTGGACTGTGAGGGAGCACCCTGAGGAAACCCACGCCAACATGGGGAGAACATGCAAACTCCACACAGAAACGCCAACTGATCCAGCCGAGGCTCGAACCATTAACCTTCTTTCTGTGAGGCGACAGTGCTAACCACTGAGCCAATGCAAATTGTGCACAATGCATTACGCTATTTTTTATTTATTTTTTGCAAAATTGTTGTTTGTTAACTATTTATGTAATAAAGAGCTGCTTAATGCTGTCACGAACTCAATGGCATTACTTAGAATAAATGAAATGAACACACTTAAAGTGTGTTCTTGTAGTGTTGTCTGTCTGAGAGTGTCAACCAGGTGAAAGTGTTTCCTGTGCGGAGTTTGATTGAGTCTTTGGCCTGAACTGAATCCTGCTGGAGGACGTCCTGCTCAGACCGAGGAGCAAACTGGTGCTCCTGATCCACCAACACGAAGACTTAAGGGTAATTTTATACTGTATGTTTATGGATTTATTTTTATTTATTTTTTGCTTTTATCTTAATGTTTTTAATTTTTTTTAATTGAGCACATACTATGATAGTAACCTCATTTTCTTTTTTTAACAATTCTGTTCTGTTCTTTTTTCAATCCTACTACCATGTTTTTGTTCTGATCGGTGGTTCGTAAAGTGGTTTGCTCCACATGGATTGTGTTTTGTACATTTTCAGTATAAAATTTACATATTTATGAGCATTTATCTCAATTCTTTCTCTTTTCTTTCTTTCGTTCATTTGTTTATTCTTTCTTTTTTTCTTTCTTTTTTCTTTCTGTGTTTGTCTCTCTTTTTTCCGTTCCTTCCTGTTTTCATTCTTTAATGTCTTACTTTCCTTCCATCCTGCCATAATTCCTGCCTGTCTGTCTTAACTTTCCTCCTGTAAATATTTCTGTCCTTCCTACCTTGTTTTTCTTTCCTGCTTTCTTTTCTTCCTTTCTGTCTTTCCTTCTTTTCTTCCTTAGTTCCTTCTTTCCTTCCATCCTGTCTTTCTTTCCTTCTTGCCTGTCTGTCTTTCCTCCTGTCTGTCTTTCCTTTCATCCTGTCTATCTTTCTGTGTCTTTCTGTCCTTCCTACTTGTCTGTCTAAGTTTTCCTCATGTCTGTCTTCGCTTCCTTCTTTCCTTCCTTCCTCTCTGGCTTTCTGTCCTTCCTACCTTCCTGTCTACCTTCCTTCCTGTTATCTTTCCTCCCATCCTCACTTGCTTCCTTTGTTCTTTCATTTTTTCTAATCTTTTCTTCTGTCTGTCTTTTCTTCCTTATTTCCTTTCTTCATGACTATATTTCCGTCCTTCCTACATTACTGCCTTCCCTTTTTCTTTTCCGTTTTCTTCCTTCCCTCCCTCCCTTCTTCCTTCCTTCTTTCCCTTACTTACTTCTCTCCTGTTTTTTTTTCTTTTCTTCCTGCCCTTCTCTTTTCTTCTGTCTCTCCTACCTTCCTTCCTGTCTATTTTTCTGTCCTTCCTACCTTTCTTTCCATTTTTTCCTGTTTTCCTTACTTCCTTCCTTTTCCTTCCTGCCTGTATTATTTTTTTCTAATGTCTCTTTCCTTTCTTCTTTTCTTTCTTGTTTCTTGACTATCTTTCTGTCCTTCTTACATTCCTGTCTTTCTTTCTTTTCTTATTCTTTCCTGTTTTTTTCCTTTCTTTCCATCCTTCCGTCTGTCCTTTCTTCTACCCTTCATACTTTTGAGTCTGTCTTCCTGTTTTTTCTTTTCTTTCTCCCTGATATTCTTTTATTCTTCTCTGTCTGTCTTATCTTTCCTTTCTTTTTGTCCTTCCTGTCTATCTGTCCTTCATAACATCCTGTCTGCCTTCTCATTTTTCTTTACTTCCTGCCTTTCTTTCTTTTCTTCCTGCCTGTCTGTCTTGTCTTTTCTCCTGTCTTTTCTTCCTTTTTTCCTTTCTTCCTGTCTATCTTTCTGTCCTTCCTACCTTCCTCCCTCTCTTCGTTCCTTCCCATTTTTCTTTCCAGTTTTCTTTTCTGTTCTTCCTTCCTTTCCTTTATCTTTCATCCTGTCTGTCTTTCCTTCCGTCCTGACTTTCTTTCCTTCCTGTCAGTTTTTCTGTCCTTCCTACCTTCTTGTCTGCCTTTTTTCCAATTTTTCTTTGCTGTTTTTCCTCCTTCTTTCCTTCCTTCCTTCCTTCCTCCCTTCCTTCCTTCCTTCATTTCTTTCTTTCCCTTCTTCCTTCCTTCCTTCCTTCCTGCCTGTCTTTCTTTCCTCCCTTCCAGTCTATCTTACTGACCCTCATCCTTTCTTTTCTTCCTGTGTTCCTTCCTTTCTTTCTTTTTGAGTTTGTTTAGCATATTTATCATTTCACAATGTATTTTTATCAGATGAGGGCCAAAATCTATGGTAAAAACTTTGAGTTTGCTTTGATTTATTAGTATTGTATGCTCCTCCAACTCACCTGTCCAGAATAAATGTCAGCACAACAGAACTATTTAAAAGATTTAATATAACAACAAAAATAATGCATTTTAATAGTGTATTTTATGTACTTATAAATTAATAATATACACCACATGTTTATGTATTTGTTTACATAATAATTCCCTTTTTGTCATTGGACATGTACCTGTGCATGTTATGCTATGTAGATGATAGGAATCTATTAGTTGTGAATGAATAGTCGTGTCCTGGTCTTCCAGCAGGACTTCCTGTGCTGAATCACTGCTGTTTTTCTCATGCAGAATCAGCGTACAGATGAAGTGTGTGTGTGTGTGTGTGTGTGTGTGTGTGTGTGTGTGTGTGTGTGTGTGTGTGTGTGTGTGTGTGTGTGTGTGTGTGTGTGTCTGGTCTGGAGTCCTGCAGCGGTGAGATTATGATGAGTTTCTGTGAGTCACAGAGACACTGCGGGTCAGATACACAACACTTGACTGTGTGTGTGTGTGTGCGCGTGTGTGTGTGTGCGCTTGTTCATGTGTCAGCATGGCATGTGTGTATGCACGTGTGTCTGTGAAAGTGTGTCTGTGTATGTGATTAAGTGTGTGTGCGTGTGAGAGAGAGAGATGTCTGTGAGAGTGTGCCAATGTGTTTGTGGTTGTGTCTGTATGCGTGTCTGTGAGTGTGCCAGAGTGTGTGTATGTTAGTGTGTGTGCGTTTGTGTGTGTCAATGAGAATGTGTGCGTATGTAGATATGTGAGTATGAGTATGAGTGGGTGTGTAAGTATGAGAGTGTGTAATGTATGTGTGTGTGTGTGTGTGTGTGTGTGTGTATGTGTGTGTGTGTAGAGAGACAAAGGCAGCGATCAGTGGTGTTCTCTCTCAGTGTGTGTCTCTTTGACTGCTGTGATCAGGCTGTAATAGATGAATCTCTGCAGTCTCACAGATGGACCTCTGGCTCTGGCGCTTGACCTTTCACTCTCTGAAGGAGAAAAGCAGCTGATGAATTCCTGAATATCCTGTGAGTATCCTGTACTTCCAGTAACACCATTAAACATACAGGGCTTAGACAATGAAACTGAAAATCCTGGTTTTAGACCACAATAATTCATTAGTATGGTGTAGCATGGCCTTCTTTTGCTGACAATGCAGCATCAATTAGTCTTGGGAATAACAGATACAAGTCCTGTGCAGTGACCAGAGGGATTTTGAGCCATTCGTCTGTCAGAATAGTGTCCAGGTCATACGGGATGCTGGTGGAGGAAAACGTTTCCTAACTCACTTCTCCAAAACAACCCAAAGGGCTCAATAATATTTAGATCTGGTGACTGTGCAGGCCATGGAAAATGTTTAACTTTACTTTTATGTTCATCAAACCACTCTGCCACCTGTCTTTCTGTGTGTATTGGTACATTGTCATCCTGATACACAACACTGCCTTCACGTTGAATGTTTGACCCATTGGGTGCACATGGTCCTCCAAAACGGTTCGGTAGTCCCTGGCAGTGACATGCCCATCTAGCACAAATATACAATCATATGGCAACGCAAACCATCGCTGATTTAACACCATTTTAATAATAAATGTATCCATAGGATATACTTTACAAAGTTCGCAAAAAATTACAATAAAACTAATACAAATGTTAAATGTATAAGTCTTTATTAAATACCAATGGAAATATTAAAATTATATATATATATATATATATATATATATATATATATATATATATATATATATATATATATATATATATATATATATATATATATATATATGAGCAATATCACATGAGTAGCAGTGCGATATGTTTGTATATTTGTATATTGGCACTGGTGGGAGGCCTGGTGCTTTAATGCCCCATCAGTGACTAAATACAGCGATATCGACTGCTACGAGTGTGATATTGCGTTTATATCACAGTTCGACATCATAATCGTGTGCATAAATAAGAAAATCAAATACGGAGAGTGTCAAAAACGCTTTTGTATGAGGAACTACTTTCTTCCGTAGCAGAAACCATTACTAATTCAGCAAAGTCACTTTAGAGCTAGTGTTTGATTCTCCAGCGTAATGTCTAAAATGATGACAAAATGGGTGATTTTGCTCACATTTTAAGATTATAAGGCTGAACAGCATGAAATGCCATCAGTCTACAGAGATTTCCCAGCATTTCTATGTTGCAATGGGGACATCACAACAATTAACCTTGAAAAAGCTAAAGCAAAGCAAACACTAGCAGATTACTATGGTATAAATGCAACACTACATACAGCACTACAACATACAAAAGAAAATAGAAGTCACTTAATAGTTATTATGTGGTCCCTGTCACCTTCTTGTGGCAAAACATCAA